AGACACCAGTCCGCTGCAGGCCACACACAGACACGCTCTCACCAATTTTCCCAGGAGCCAAGGCAGTGTACGCCCTGGGGGAGACACCAGTCCGCTGCAGGCCACACACAGACACACTCTCGCCAATTTTCCCAGGAGCCAATTAACCGACAAGCGCTGTATGTCTTTGTACTTTGGGAGGAAACTGCAGCAACCAGCGGAAACCCACATGAAAACAGGGACAACATACAACATACAAACTCCACACAAACAGCACGCCAGGAACTGAACCCAGGATCCCAGCGCTGTGAGCTCCACTGGAGAACCAGCACAAATACATTCCATTCCCTTCCTTGCAGTGTTGACAGGTCAGCACTGAGATGGGAAGATGAAGATCTAGGCTTGCTGTGGTCATGCAACAATAATTAGGTTTACAGTAAAATCAGAAGGAACAAACATTTGTAATGACACAATATCACTGTGCTCTTCAAAGTCATAACCCCCTTTAAAAAAGGCATCATGTTGGTATTTAATTAATAATTAGTTATAATTATAATAATTCCTAAAAGGTCTGATATCAAGATATAATATTGATACACCTAACATGCAAACAGAATAAACATGACTTACTGTAAATTAGTAAGACTACAACCCAAAACACTTACAGTAAACACTAACGCCAGGTGTTACAGTTAAGTGAAAAGGGGGAAAATACCATCAGCAAAAATATATCTTAGGAGCAACTTGTAAGTTGAGTTAAAGGTTTGGTTAGTTTAAGAGCTGCACTAGAATGAAACAAGCAGCTGAGGCCACAGCACCAGGGGTGGGAACTGCCGAGTTATTTCAATTGCAATGGTATAAGAACAGACAGGAAGAACATCAGAAAGGGCTCAGAAGGACCATGTGGTCCAGTCAGGCCATTTACTAGTTGGATCTCATCCATACCGAGTCTTAAAACGAGCCAGGCTCTGGGCTTCAACAACAAGGCTGGGAAAGCTGCCACACTCCCATGAGCTTGTGCCTCCTGCACCTGCTCTAAGGTGCACAGGATTGAGAACGATGACTCAGTTTTCCATTCCAGGCCTGTTTTCCAATTTGCTCTTAAAATGTGGAACGGGACCTAGCACAAGTTTTGGCCACCCAAGTCATGCAATATATTACACAACTCTGTGTTGCTGGAACACATTTTTTGAAGATGCCTCATTATTTAAAATACAAATATGCTGTCCTGCATGGAGTATATCATGATTAAAAGATTTAAAGCCACAACTGTCTTTAACACTTTTAAGTGTATGTTTGAAGGGATGCACGTACTGTATGGGCTGCTACCATTTTTTTAATATTCCACCTCATAGCTGCAGATACTTAAATATTTGGAAATTGCGAATGTTGATCATTACTGTTGAAGGTTTATATATATTCACACAAAACACAACGTTTCGGCCTTGGAGCCTTCTTCGGGTCTAAGCTGGTGTGAGAAGGCTCTACGGCCGAAACGTTGTGTTTTCTTTCTTCTCTTTTCAGCATAGAATAAACCTATTCTTCGATCCTTTGCAGACTACGCATGCTGACGCAGCTCCCCACCCGAGCTATATATTAACAAGTCAGTTGAATGTGGTGCAGCCGGTGCTGCACGCTGCACATACAGTGTGCAGTACTGTTAACTGTTTACAGAATGTGACAGGGCAAGAACTCAGTGAGAGCAAGCACTCAGACGTGAAAGCGAAAGTAATGGGATAGCAATGACGGAAGTTCCTTGATGTAGATCTATCCCTGCTGGAGCGCAGAGAAAAGTGCACCGGACACAACGCATAAGAGCACAAGATTTTCACTGCGAGACTCGGCAGCGTGGAACGCATGGAGTTTGCTACTTCATGAGAATCGAGATTGCAATGTATGAAACTGAAATGCGAATCTGACGTTCAACTTCTAAACATGAGTGGGAGTTCCTGGTCCCGTCCATTAGCTAACATGAGCATAAAATGACATATGGTAAGTGCGTGGAACAAGTGAATAATCTTAAAAGAGATTGGATTTTACTTCAGTCCTCCAGGCGCGACAGTTGCGTGACGCACAGTTTATCTAACACAAGACCGTGTTATTTTTACGTTAGCTAACAACCCGTTTGTATACAGAGGAATTCCTTTATGTGAGTGAAGACGAAAGTAATTCACCGCAGTGGGAAAAACCTACCAGCATTTGATAGCGAATTTCGTTTCTCATGCATCCTTCTGAAGAGTCCCAGTGCCTTTCGCTGGGTCCGCCTTTCCGCGACACAGATTGTAAGGAGACTGGAGCGGCTGCTTTGGAGGGTATATATACACAACACAGGGGAATTCCAGGGCTATATGTTTTTTTACGGACTTCCTTTTAAAAGAGAAGGAAACTAGGATTTTACGGGAATTTCCATTAAGTTTCATTATGAACGGGAATGAAAAGACACTTTGTAATCCGTTTTTTTTTCGCAGAGATTATATGTTTAAATTAATGATGACGTTTCTATGGAGCTGTTTTTTTACAGTTCAGCGCATTGTGAAATAATTATGGAAAGGTTCTTAAGGGACAATTGTAGTATATTTTCTTCACAGCAATTCTCTCTGTGTGTTTTTGTAATATTGATTTAACCTGCAGATTTACATTTCCAATGTGCAAAACCAATTCCACAGAACCAGTCACCTGGATTTAAAGTGGGTTTATTTCTGAAGGTATTGTAGATCATTAATGCTTTAAGGGCAAGAGGTGTTTGTAAGTAATTATGAGTATTTGTAGTGCGTGTGCTGAGTGTCTAACCTTTAAATTATAAGTAATAAAAGTAATAAACGTTTATTAGAAAAATCACAGTAGTTCGAAACTAACAAGAAAAAAAAACATTAAAAGTAGGCTATTACCAGGTATTCAGCTCTGGAAATAACATACACAACGATGCATAATTGTGTAGTATTTTAAAATATGTCATAATTGAAAATATTTTTATATTGCGTCAGAAACCTACATTTTAAAAAACCCTAGAACCAGTCACGTGATAAGCAATTTTAATAATTCTAGGTAATTTACGATGTTCAGGGATTCATTTCATTTTCAATTAAAACGAGCAGTGGGAGCTTTCTCAACGTGTATTGTACAGTACTGTCCGGCGCTGACTCTCGGGTTTGGTATTTAATCCAGGCTACTTCGTTTTTATGCGGAAAATATTATTTCTTCTCTAGTTACTGCCTTCACTTATTCTTTGCGTGACTCGTTTTTTTTTTTAATGGTAATATTTTAAAGAGGAAACAAATATTAGCTTCCGCTTCTGGTGCTGCTCCGATCATTGCAGCCCATTCTAGAGTGGATGGGAGGTACAGTATTCCAGAAACACAGTAGCTGTTGAGGATATACTGTATTCAGTCCTGCATTTCTGCATTCATTTGTGCTTTTACATACTGATGTTTAAGTGTTGTACTGTTCGAACTGTCGCAGCTCCTGCAGCTAGGGTTTTAAAAAAAACATCAGTGATCAGCGAATTAAATCTGGCAGAAATGGCACAAAGAAATTAATTGAGGAGAATAACGTGTAGTTGTGAGCACACGCAGTAAGGGCAAGGCCAAGGGTATCAAGTATCAAAAGCACTCAACGAGAACGAAATCTGAGGTTTGTTTACATACAGTACGCGAAAATAACCGAGAACCTGTTTTTTCTTAAGCAAAAGCTTTTAACCGTGTGAGTCCAGTGGCATTTAGGATGTCCCCAAATGAGGAATGGTGTTCATGACGTAGTCATTGTGTGAGCTGATGTTCCTCTGGAACTGAGGATTCTACAAAACCTGGAAGATGTGGCATTAAGGTCTGGTTATTGACAGAAGGCAAGGGGTTCTGAAGTCAGGTGCACTCAAATTTGTAAAAATAAAACATGATTGGCATGATTTTAAAATCTGATTTTGCTGCAGAAATTCACTTAATTTATAATGTTTTTTTTTCTTTTGTAGTGCAAATGGACAAAATAAATCAGTTTCCATGTCATGTTTTACTTTTCATGAAATCAGTATGAAGGATGATGGAGCTTTGAAGAAATGGAACAGAGCATTTGCTGATATTGTGCTCATTGCATGTTGCTAATAATGTTTTGTTTTTCAGTTCTCTATAGGTATATCTTCAGTATTTATATCCTGGCATTGATACCGTTGTCTTTTGCATTTTCCTGTGAAAACCGAAAGGCCATGAATTCCATTACTGAAGATTTCAAGAACATTATTAGCCCCTTAATAGACGACCTTGTAAGTATGGAGCATGTGAGAACCGTCCTCTGTGTGTGTGGCCCTCGTGTCGTTGTGCCCGTTGGTTAATTCTGTGTGGAGTAAAAACGGGATTACTTCTTACTACATCTTGACAGAGACCTGCATCAGGGTGGACTGACACATCGATGTCTTTCAAAATATGGAAAACACACCTGTTCTTCAAAACAAATTAAACCTGGAGTGCGCTACATTTGTTTGTTTTATATAAAAAAACACTAGATAATCTTTTACACTCACGATGAGCTTAATGTTTGACATTATAGTCTGGCATATAAAATGCAGGATTACAAAGACTATATATTTGGCTTTTGCCTCTTGTGGTCCTTGTAATTAAAATCAGCTTACTTCTTCTTTCCAAAAATAATCCACTTCTAATGCAGAATGAAAGAAAACCAAAAAAAAAGGGTGACTGGAATTTCCTGGTGCTGCTTACTTCCTCAATGAGTCACAGTAGGTGTGTGTGGAGGGACTCCGGTCTCTCTGACAAGCAGGATTGATGGCAGGGTGAAGGAACACTCTAGGCCAGCATGTAGATCTCATACTGCAGAGCAAGGATTCCAACTGGGCTGTGATTCATTTCACAGTGATGATCTTTGCATAAATCTAAGTAAATGGAACACTTCTTTTTGTTTTAATAGAACAGAAGTCTTTCAAAGCTCACAGAGGACACAAACTGCGAGGATAATCACACATATTCATGTGAAGAAGATAACGTAAGGAAAATATTTGTTTTAACCCTTTCCTGAAGGGCTGTGTGCATTTTAAAAATACCTGCACCTTTTTTTTTCAGACATGCTCCACATTCCTCGTTTGGTCAGGCACAGAGTGCTCCAGCAAGGAAATTCATTTCACAACTATTCTCCTTTATTGCTTAAAAAAAAAACTTGGTTTTAAGGACCAAGGAACACTGTTTTATTTTCAGAAATCTAAGGAGCCTGTCTGTACATATGCTACATAAGAATTAGCCCTCAATGTTCATTATTGTAGTGGGTTAATAAACCCTTAATTATGCAGTAATTCAGTTTAAAAACATGTTCTTATAAAATGTATACAGTAACAATTTGTTTTTGTTCAGATGTACACATTTAAACCAAAAAATGGAAGCTTATTGGAGTGCGAATACACTACTGCCAGAACATTGCAGTTGCTTGTTTAAGTCTCTGCTAAGGAGTTTATGTTATGGTTAGGTAAACTGTGCTGTTAATATGATAACGCAGATCCTACTGAGACAAGAGATACAGTTCGTCTAAATCGGAATGTGAATTGTATTATACGTAAAACTTAGATAAGTTTAAAAACTGAAACATCCATTACAAAATCATAACTGCATTCCAGATTGTTAACTAGAACAGCATGATTATTCCACTTTCCACTGGCTGCTCAAGAAAAGACCTGCTCTGTACTGCCATCTACCCTTTATATCCAAAGTCTCAGAGCTGGCAGTGAAGTACTATGATTCACATGTTCCCGTAAAGATGGCTGTGAAAGGAAAGTGGTTATGAATATCGTTCTGAGAAAACTATAGAAAGTCAAAAATGTATTCTTAGAACTGGACGTTTGGAGTGTCTCTGGAGTGAACAACTGTTACTCTTCCAAAGAGATTTACAAGAATTAAGAAATAAAAATATCCATACACGCTTTAGTGCGTTGAGCTGGTATGTTTTGGAAATATGACTGACCAAAGTAGGCCTGCCAGATGTAGTGTGTGACATCTAAGAAAAATCCTGTGTTGCCAAGTAACAAGTAAGTTAGGAACAACTAAGGCTTTCAAACATTTTTTAATAAAAACAGGAACCAGGATGAGGAGATGTTTTATGAAAGTAAATTTGCAGTTATGTTTTTATTTTTCAGGAAATAGGATCAATTTTTCAAATGATTTGTTCTATGAACATTAAAAATAAACTGAGAGACGTCAAAGTGAAATCGATACATCTTGTGCAAATTGTGGAACAGTCTCTCGGATGCTCCTGTCACAGAAGAAAGGTGAGAAGTAAACACACCAGTAACAGAGCTGGGCTGCAGCCCTCCCTCTCCAGCAAACCCACAGATTAAGTTGAAAAATACTCTTTGATAATGATATCGTTACAAGCACATTCGAGTTTGCATGAGAACGGACTAAGAGCAGGTTTCTGTGTCTACGGTGCTGCTAAAGTCTGTGTAGCTCCAGAGCCATGTCCTCACACCACGACTTGTGCACATTCTACTGTGGGTGCAAACACACATTTTACATGCCTTGAAATATCTGAAATGAAATGTGCAGAAGACCTTTAAACAACCCCTTAACCGCACAGAGAGTATGTCCAGTGAGAAGATCTCCGATCAAGATGCAGCCAAGCTGCAGGTCCCCTCTGGGATGCCGCCGAGACCTTCTGAACAGCCAGGGCGCCTTGGCCGGCGTGTGGGTGACTTTACAGAGGGTCAGTTTCTAACCAGTGTTTGTCTGCTACAGGATCATACAGGAGTTCAGCATGGAGCTGAAAAACTGAAGAGACCACACCGGCGAGAGAAAAGGCTTTGCAAAATAAGGAGACTTCTTGGTAATATACAGAACTGTTACACGCGGATATATGTGAAGTATAGCTCAGTAGATGGCACCTAAGCGTGGAACACCCAGGTACAGGGATCACTGAGAACAATAATCCACTTAACTAATGTGTAAGCTTGCTTAAGCACTTAACATATACATATCCTTTCTCTTGGGAGTTTGAATGGAGTCAAGTGAGTTCAAGCAAGCAGAAGGATGTTATTCTAAGGCGTAATAAATTGGGTGGATAAGCCCTGCCAGAGGATGTTTTCAGAAGAAGAGAATCAGGTTACTGGTGGTGCTTGGAAGACAGTATGGATCCTCCAGTTGTCAGAGGGTAATGTGTGAATGGAAATATGTTTAACAATATATTCACTAGTGTATTGCTTTGCTGCGTAACTTATCTAACTTTTGCAACAGAAGAAATTTATAAGCTAAAATAATTTGCCTCCTATTTATACTGTACAAAGCTGCACTTCAGATTGAAAATAATTTGCAGGGATACACAGCAGTTTATCGCTAATTCAAAAAAGCATAACTGTCATGACAGTTTGCAATGTGATATATGGCTTCTAGTGAAATTCCTAAACACTGCTCAATGTCAGGTATTAAATTTCATATTGATTTGGTATAACTTAAACCTGCATTAGCTGACACAGTCTGTAATAAGAACTTTTCACATTCTGTTATAACTTGCTCACTTTGTATTGGGTTTTGATTAATACGGCTTTGCAGGTGAGGTGTGACAAGTCAAGCAAGCTGAGGAGTGCTGACTGTTGACAGTGTGTGAATGTCTTAAATGGCCCTCAGACAAACCCAACACTCGAGGAAGAGCCTTGTGCAGCAGACCTCGACTTAGTTGCTGTGAGATGAAAGTTTAACCTTTGTCCCTGGTAATGGCAGCTATAAGAAACCATAATCAGCCTTAGGGTCTTGCAAATAAATCAAAGCTTTTAACACTGATGTTTCTGCATTCTATTCTGTGAAGTTTTATGATGGCACCTTAAAATGTGGGCAAGGAATCCTGCTATTAGAATGTGTTCTCTGTTGTCATTTATTATCTACTTTCAATTGTAAAACAGTAACCAGATGAGCTTTAAAAGACATTACAGTACTACTGGAATTTTGTATTACACTGTGCACTCCATGTGCACCTATTGTATAAGATGTATCATGTAGCTGTATTGTTGGAATCTAGTGTACTTTATAGACTGTTTGAAAAACGTTTGGATATTCTGATAAATGTATATTTCTAGACATCAGCCTTATGAGCACTAACTCATTGACTGCACAGTATATTGAGTAATTTGTTTAGATCCTAATAAATGCGAGAGAGAGATGAGATGTGCAGAGTGTACTTGGCATAGCTCACCTGGCGGAGAGAATTGACCAGACCCCCCTGTATTGTGAGGACTGAGCCAGGGTGTAGACAAGATGGCGGGAGGGGTATGAGAGAAACACACTATGGGACATCCCGGCTGCGAAACATACATACATAGGTGAGAGGAATTGTGAGAAATTAAGATCTAACCTTCCTCCCGAATTTCTGTTATAAACTCTATCAAGCAGTTGCAGTACTGAGGCTGGTCACGCCTGTTTGAAGGTCTCAGTGCAGCTGGAAGACGCAGGCTATCTGTTTCGCCGAAACCTCGCCAAGTTGTCTCTCTCGCATATAGTAGGATCGTAATGGGGAAAAAAGGGTACGTGAATAGTTTTTCGGTGGACAGAGCAAACGGTATTGTTTGGACTCCTAAATCTGAAGAAAGCAGCAGACAAAAGAAGCTGAGACTCGCATTCATCTAGTCGTCTTCCAGCTGTTGGGCAGATGTTTTTCTCTGCCTCACCTGGATGGGTGCTGAAGACAGGGACTTTGGGGAAAATGCAGTGTGCCCCAGCAGGATGGGCCACAGGGAGCTGGGACAGCTGTTGGGAAAACGTTTGCCTGAGTGCTGGCCGGGCAGCAAGAGAGCCAGGACTGAGACAGAGAGTGCCTCTTGCTGCAGGGGCGCTCTTTCCTGCCGCTGAGGGGCAGCTCTGCTGCAGCTCTTGCTAAATCCCGCCGGCAAGGTGAAGTCCCGGACACACACTCCAGAGACGCACACAGATGGGAACTGTTACAGGAGGCCTGACGAGAGGAGTCCCTTCGAAAATACTGCCACAACCGCAAAGTGTTGAGTGATTTTTCCTTTCCAGCGACTTTTTGCTTGAGTGTTAAGGACACAGTTCCTGATCCTTAATTATTACCTTTGTATAGTCCTTCAGTGCCAAGGGGAGTGTGGACCGAGGTTCATGTGCGGTACGTGTTGAATGTTGGCAGCACAATGACGATCATGAAGTGTTCTATTTTTTACCCATCCTATTGAGTCTGCTTATGACTACTACTACCTATACATCACAGTGCCAAGGAAAAACATATTTTTTCGCCATTTACCTTTTTTGTAATGTTAAACAATCGTAAATAAAAAGGGAGTATGTGGCTCGTAAAAACATGGTGATCGAGATTTTCATGATAAGGTTTTGCTGCTTACTGTTGCTTAAACCGAGTGAGATGTTGAGTGATAAAAGATTTAGCAGTGAAATCATCAATTGTTTAAAATATATGTTTTTAATATTTTTTGGAAGCTTCATAATTAAATATTTAAAATTCAATATACAGTATATTGAATTCAATACATATTGAAGTTGCTTAAAATTTTGGTTCCCATTGTAACATTGTTAGTCATTATTTATGTATTGGGTATTCGGTTCACATACTGTATATTATTAAAGTTATATATAGTGACATGATTTAAAGAATATCATCAGTAAACCCCATGATCTGCATAGGATTTGGCCAAAAGACTCATAATGCAATAACATTGTTAGGTCTAACATGAACTCTGAAAATTTCAAAAGAAATCAGGAAATTGTTAAATTAGCTTTAAAAGTAAATAGTGGAATAATTCATAATGTCTTATAAAGTACAGAGTGCTTTATGCACCATACGATCTGTGTTTGAAGAATTCACCTAAAGAATAGACTGTTCTCTGAGGCCAACAGACAGACCTAACTTAAAGGAAACTCCCCTCCAGCAAGGAGCAGGACCAGTAATACTGTATCAGGTGTAACCAATTCAGAAATAAACAGCTGATCATGGCTCTTAGACATCAACTTCAACAATAGTTTTGCAGAACTGGTCTGATGTGGCTTATAAGGGTTGAATCTTGAATTTCTGACCTGACCTGGATTTCGATCCCATTATCCTAGACTCAGTTAACACCCTCAGCACCTTTTGGGTTTTGCTCGACCCTGAAGACGTCTGGGCATCAGTACACTGTAGCTGCTGCTTGTGTAACCAGGCAGGAACAGGGGTCGCATGAGGACATGGTGCGATAGTGTGGAGAAAAGCTAAGGCCCTGATTACTCCCTGAGGACAAGTTTTTGTTTCCCCTTGAAGAAAACGTAGCTATGGCACCTTCAGCATTTCCTCACACTTGGAAGATGCAATGAGACTTCTTTACAATCTGCATTTCTTGTCTGGCTTTCTTCCTTCACTGCTCTGGCTGTTTAATTATGCAGCATAATGTTTTTAAGATATTTTTCATTTACTGGCTCCAGTATGCAGCTTCACAAAGAAGAAACTGAGGCTAATATTTCCCTTGCCTGCTATATATGAAAAGTTAATGTAGTGCAGTAGGAGGCATACAATACTACAGTATATTGTAACTGTGGGGCTTCTTTAGAAATACATTCTCCTTTAGGAGTTAAGTATGCTTAGACTTCTTGAGTAGTGAGATCCCACTATAGTAAAAAGTGTATCTAAAAACAGCAAGGCTTTATGTAACATTTAAACAATACATAGGTGTTTTAAAATGTGTTACATGGATAATGTTTTGACTGCGATTTCAAATGAACTTGCATGATTTCCATATGATGTTGCTTATTCTTTGTGTTGCTCTCCAGTGCAAATGCAAAATTAAAGATTAAAAGGTATTACTAGAGCATGAAGTAAACTTCTTTCTTTTATTTCTGAGAAACGCTTACGGAGGATGTTATTCACAGTTCCTGTAAATCCTGAACTTTCAATATCCGTGTGCTTAAAATAACTGAGCTTATCATAACATTTCTACTGGTTACATCATATCTGACAGAGCTGCATTATTGTCTCTTCAGTGGATGTTATCTTGCCCTTTTCAGTTTGAGCATTCAGCTGTTTTTACAAAATGAATGTATGTATCCGCCAAAAAACACGCAGCTGTTGGGAACAGATGAACTGCTGTGTTAGGTACAAAACTGTAACTTTGTGAAGTGCTGGTGAGTTTCTGAATTGTTGAGGACTGTACTTCAGCCCACATTGAGACCAGTGGCATGGCAAGGCCACTACATTCTAGCTGGCCTTGGGAGCAGTATGGACAGGCATAGCCAGAGCAGTGTGCCCAGTATCCTGCCTCAGTAAATGAAAAGGGTGTGGATGTTGCAGTAGCGTTCTGTCTCCCTCTGGTGGCTACGATCAGTGTTGCACTGTTGCACTCCATCTCCAGCTGCTGGGCCGGTAGTGATTCTTTCTGCTATTTACCCAGGGCTGATGGGCTGAATATCCTATTCCAGTCAGAACAACTTTTTGTGTGAAAAAGTCTGTCATGTTTGCATTTTTAATGTCCAGTGGTCTATATCCTGAAGAAGGCCTGTGGTTTGTCAGTGCCTTTGAGGATTGTGAACACTTTAATCAGGTACTGTCGTTGTCTTCAAAGACCGAAATGATTAAGACTGTCACTTTTAGAGCAGCAGTAACTTTTTTGTAGCATTTTACAAACATAATTCATTCCGTGAAAACTATTTGTAAGGTGAAAATTAGTAAACCGGCAATAAGTCCCATCACTTTACAGATGCAGCCATTCAAAATCACAAAATTAAAGTTACAAAATAAGGTGACATAGTAATACATACATAATAGTGCAATAGAAATTGAATAAGATAAACTCAGACAAAACTGAATAGAAATAGAACCGCTACAGTATGTGTCCAGGGTGTATGCAATACATTATGTCCAATTTAGCAGTCTTATTGCCTGGAGGTGCTGTAGAAGCTGTTCCGTAGTCTGTTGGACTTGGACCGAATGCTTCGGTACCTTTTACCGGACAGTAGGAGAGAAAACAGTTTGTGACTGGGATGACTGGGGTCCTTGAGAATGGACCTGGCCTTCTTCAGACATCTAGCTGAGTAGATATCCTGGATGTTTGGTAGCTCACAGCCGGTAATGAGCTGCGCTGACTTCACCACCCTCTGCAGTACTTTGTGATCCCGGGCGGAGCAGCTCCCATACCAGGCAGTGATGCAGCCAGTCAGGATGCTCTCAATAGTGCACCTGTAGAAGCTGTCCTGGATATGTGACGGTATGCCAAACTTCTTTAGCCTGCGGAGAAAGAATAGGCGCTGCCGTGCTATTTTTACCACGGTGTTGGTGTGGTGGGTCCAGGTTAAGTCCTCTGAGATGTTAACTCCCAGGAACTTAAAACTGCTGACCCTCTCCACTGCAGTCCCATTGATGTAGATAGGTGTGTGATCTCCTCCCTGGTGTTTTCTATAGTCCACAGTCATCTCCTTAGTCTTACTGATGTTCAGAGAGAGGTTGTTCTCCTGGCACCATGCTGCCAGGGTTTCAACCTCCTCCCTGTACGCAGACTCTTCACCATCTGTGATCAGGCCGATGAATGTCTGCAAACTTAATGATGGAGCCTTGGGGGCACACAGCCTTGGGGGGCTCCAGTGCTTGGATTCAGGGTAGAGGATATGTTGTTGCCCACCCTCACCACCTGCAGACGTCCCATCAAGAAGTCCAGGATCCAATTACAAAGTGAAGTGTTCAGTCCCAGGTCCTGGAGCTTGATGACAACCTTTGAGGGCTCTATGGTTTTGAATGCTGAGCTGAAATCAACAAACAGCATTCTCACATATGTTCCTTTCTGATCCAGGTGTGAGAGGGCAGTATGGAGGGCAGAGGCAATAACATCCTCTGTTAACCTGTTCTGGCGATACGCAAATTGCAGTGGGTCTAGGGTGTCAGGCAGTGAGGAGGTGATGTATGCTTTGACCAACCACTCAAAGCACTTCATGATAACTGATGTGAGTGCAACAGGGCGGTAGTCAATCAGGCAGCTGGCTCCGGGTTTCTTAGGAACAGGGACAATGGTGGTTTTCGTAAAGTAGGAAGGAACTATAGACTGAGCTAGAGAAAGATTGAATATGTCCAAGACATCTGCCAGCTGGTCTGCACATGCCTTCAGAGCACAGCCAGGGATAGCATCAAGGCCAGGAGCCTTGTGTGGCTGGGTCTTTTTAACAACTTTACACACATCCGCTCTGGATATGATCAGTAGGTTTCCGTCTTGGATTTCTGGAATCTTCCTGGCTGGATCTGTTACTGACCTCAAACCGAGCAGAGAATGAATTTAGCTCATCAGGAAGAGAGGCAGACTGTTGTGCAACATAGTTGGGTTGCATTTTGTGGTCTGTAATGGTGTGTATACCACTCCACATGTTCCATGTGTTGCAGCCGTGATAACATGACTCTAACTTAACTCTATAGTTGTATTTAGTGATTTTGATGGCTAAATGTTGACTATCCTGTACAATCCTACCGATTGTAAATTAATCTCTAGTTCAATTTTAATTGCCCTTTTTACAGATGGATGATGCATTAGCAATTTTTTAGTCAATGCGCATTGCCTGTGTTGAGTGACTGTTGTAAAGGTTTTATCAGCTTGAACAACATCTAAGTTCTTCAAGTACAACTGGTAAAATACTGTCAGGCCCTGGTTAGCTAACCAAAAAGTTTCACAGGTTATACCAGATTAGAATGAGAATACTGCACAATTGGAAATGCTTCCTGGTCCAGCCTTTTTTTTTATTCAAGTATTCTTGGTTTAGCTACAGTATATGAAGTAAGAAACACTGATTTGCAGACTCACAATCTCACCTTGAATTCAGAGAGATATCTTCATCACAGTTTCTTGCTGCAAAACACAGCTTGAGCCAGCACAAGCGATTGGTAATGCTGGAAACTCCTGTTCTGTGATTTAAATGCAGACAGTAATGCACATGAGCTGTGCCTCAGTTGCCAGTGTGCGCACACTAACAGCAAACCCTAGTGAGGGACTGGAATGCTCCTTCGTTTGGCATTGATTAGCATAGTGGCAGAGACGCATTCCATAGATGGAAAAAATTGCCCTGTAGTCAGGCTCATAAATGTAGCCCTGTTCTCAAGGACTTGTGTGGGTGTTCCCGAGCTGAAATCTGGGAATACACTAGTAAGAAAACATGAGGACGAATGAAAGATGACAATGGAAAGTGAAAGTAAACTCCAAAAAAATCTATTATGGAAAGCATTATACAAAGCATGTACAGTAGCTTCTTTTAGTGTCTTATCATGTTTCCTCAATAATTTTCTGTTTTTCTTACATTTTATTAGACTGTATAATTGCTAGAGCTGGCATCTGTAAATGAAGTTGAGCACAAGGGAGTGGCAAAGGCATTTTGTCCAGCGTATTATTGCTAATGGATTGCATCAGATTTAGATATAGCCCAATTACAACATTAATGTGCATTACATTATGCATCACAGTACGTATTTATGAGGCCTCGAAAAGCTTCCTGTTGAAATGTATTAGTTGGGTTGGATAAATCAAAATAAAATAACACACAGAACACAAGATAGATGACAGATATTAGAAAATGTAACTTTTACCTCAATTGGTTAGCCAAAATTGTAAAAAGCCTCAATACTTCCAATATATTTGAAAAGAGAGCAGTATTGAGCTGTTTGCCTAATTTATTCACTGTTAGAACGTTCTCCTTTAACACTTGAGTTCCAATGTATTTTCTTTGATGAATATTTACAGTATACTTATAGTGATAATAAAATGAAATGATTACATCAGCTGTTCAGTCCATTTTGGCACCTCCAGTCCAAAGCACTTTTTCGTGTTTTATGCAAAAGACAATATAACTGACCATCATAATCTACATAAACCGCAAGAACAAGCCATTAGAAAATGACCTGAAAATATGATAACAGCCCATAGAACAAGTAAATGCTATCTTAATTCTGCTGACTGCTACATTTATACCACCTGCTGTTTCTGAAAGTGATTTGTCCTACATATGTTTTGGTTATTTCAAAATAAGGGTTCTGGGGTAAAGGTGTCCATTGTAATGTCCACTATGGTGTGATGACAAAATCTTGCAGCCACTTCACAGAAGAACTTCGCCATAATTCCTTACAATTTCCACATCAAGGATCAAAGATTTATGGATGACAAAGGGACAAAATCCACAAGGAGATATCAGATGGTCACAGGAATCTTTATTACAGGAGTGTCAAGTTCCCTAAACTTTATAACCACCCTGTTCAGTATGTACCAACACATGAGCGAACAAGACCAGTAAAAGAGACAAACAGTAAGAAGTGCAAACATGTTCTTCCTGGTTATTGTCATGATATTAACTCCTCATTACGGGCAAAGATGAGCTGGTTGTGAGAAAGTAAATCTACAATATGACAGTAGATTTTATTTCTCCATTGACAGATCACAGCCTGACAAGGGGGTCAAAAAGGTGTGTTTTTGCAGTCAAACAACACGTCCATCAGCATGTGTTGTCTGAGGCACTTGCCTTCGTATTATTGGAAGAATTGCTGTGTAGGATTACTCAATGAGAGAAGTAACAATTTGTGTCGGGCAAGGTGAGGGCTGGACGCACGCACAGCAACAGTGAATGACATCCATGCTGTTCCACTTACATCAACTACAGCTGCTTTGAAGACTCCTAACCTACTAGTACTTCTTCCTGCTTCCCTCCTTTCAAATATCACAGCAGTACACCCTAAAGCGCAGAAGCTAAGAGAGTATTTTTTGTTTAATTGCAGACTACAATTTTTTCGTGTAACATGTGCCATCTGTATTGTCAGCATTATGCAGTATTCACATGACCTCCTTTTTAAAGCCGTGCTGAAAGAACGCTCATCGTCTGTGCGAGCAGGAGGGGAGCGGGCAGCCTGCAGGAACACAGGGACCAGCTCCGCCCATCAGTCCCAGCGCTGACGGCTGCTTCAGGGCGAGCACACACGCAGGTGTGCCCGCACACGGTCACACACCTCATTGTCACCACAAGCTTCACACTGAAAGGAGAAGGAGGGGGATTTCTCTGTTGTGTGCCTGGAGGCTGGGAGTCCTGGAGGACATGAAACCTCAGTGCAAGCCTCGACTCCCACAGACCCTGACAGAGCCGGGCACGCACTGTCCAGGTGTGGGGTGAACAAAGGTGAACGCTAAGATGACAGCAAAAGACCCTTTCTACATTTGTAATTGTGCACTAAGGTCAGTACTAGCAGGGCTAATTTCTTTCACATGGTGTAATGCCTTTTTGTACAAGCCAGGTGGGTAAAAGAAGGGGTTGGTTTTTCGGGTCACTCTGAGGCTCAGGAGGGCTGTCCTGTCCTGGACAGGGATGGGGGAAGGGTAAGATTGCCACCAGGGTTCTTACAGTATCTTGTTTAGTCTGGCAGGGTTTTAAAGTATTATTATGTTTAGCTGAAAAATAAAGGTACATGGAACTTTTGTTAAAGTACAGTACATGTGTTTGTGTATTAGGCCATCAGATGTGTTGGAGTTAAAGTATTTTTATAAATTAAGAAATATTAAATTTACCAGTTCTGGGCTCTCCAGTACAAGGAAATAATGTAGGTAATGTGTGGTCCACTCTGTCAGTCTGCAGGCCATCAGAGCTAAAGTTTGCATTGGTCTGGCTTTATTCAGACCAGAGCATGGGCGATTAACCAGCACTAACTATAGTTGTATATGCGAAGGACCAGGTAAAGGTTTATTCCTGCTGAAAGTAAAAGAAAAGAGACAATGTTTTGGCTGTGTAACCTTCTTCAGGTTGGAATAAACCTTTACCTGTTCCTTTGCAGCCTATGCATGCTGATGAAGCTCCCTGTTTGAACTTCTTCAAACTATAGTTATAACTTCCATGGCTTACATTATAGGCTCTGTGTTTCAAACCTAGGTAATTTAAGTTAGCAGCCTGAAGCCTCCTGTTTACGGGGATCTTGGTACACCCTAAAGCAAAAACAGAAAAAGCATAAAAACTAAACACATAGCTGTTTATAAAATGACAGGATAAACTTTCTGAGACAATACAGCTACAACAATAACTCTGCTTCCATACTTGTTTATTTCCTTATTTAAATGTAAAGAACATGTGATACACATTATTTAGATTTTCAGTCACACAGACTCACATTATCATCATTAAAGCAGGAAATGACAGATCACCTGGACATGGCAAGCTTCTGGAAATAAAGCAGCTATTTCCTACAGAATACATGTATGTACTTTATACACATTTAGCACTGGGACTTTTCTACAAGGGTAAAACCACTGTAGTCCTGTTTCTTGGGGTTTTCCCAAGACCATCCATTGCCAAACCCAATCAACCAATAACAGACTCAGACAAGAAAAATATTTGACTTGTACTATGCATGAGTAAACTACTTGTTGCGTACTTACTGTTGAGCAGTGTGCACTATTAGGGTCAAGAAAAAGAAAAGACTGTCAGGTCTCTACTTTCAATGAACCTCAAATAATAAGTTACAAAAATATATCTTAAAATCTGGCTAATGAGTTAATAATTGCTCCCTTCCTCTATTAACAAAAAAAAAATAGAGCTCATGGAATTTTCATGGAGTTAAAAAAACAGGACATATAAACAAGTAGTAAATAAAAGCTATTAAATAAATGGTAAATGTGTCAGAATAGCACAGCCCTGCAATAACTGTTTTTATTTTACATAGCTGTCTGAAAAAGAACTTGAAGATCAACTTAAGTACATCTTTAGAACTGTGACTTAAATTTAAATTCAATTAAATGCATTTTTTAAAATCACACTCATGGTTTTCCATTGGAACCCCATGACAGTCTGACAGGAGTGTTCAACGTTTGCAGGCCCGGCCCCCCTACACTTTAACTGTCATTCCAAGTCAGATTTGTCCACTTGTGTGCATATTTACACATCTTCCCCGCCAAAATGAAACAGCTGTGTGAAACCTATTTCCTTCAGCAATATCTGAAGAGTGAAGCCGAGCCCATCGCCCACAGCTCACAGCCAGTGCAGGGCAGGTTCTGTTGTGATACACATTGGTTAATGACCAGCCTGTTGGGCATGGAGCAAGAGGCAGGAGAACACACTGTGCGTTGATTATGGCACTGTAACAGGGAAGCAACTGAGCAAAGCGATGGTCGCATGTAGTCACACCTTACGGTCAAAGTCTCACACAAAAAACTTCTTAAATTTAGTGTTCATGCAGTCCTACCATTAACAAGCCTGTAATTATATACACATCCTCCTCACTCCACACTCACAGCAGAACTTGGCCCATTCCACAGGGTACTTGGTTCCACATTCATGACAGAACTTGGTTTGCTGGCCAGCGGAATTCACCTTATTCCTGTTTCCGTTCGCTGGCGGTGAAGAATCGACTTCGCATCCGCTTTTGGCATTATTCCTGCAGCAGACAACAGGGAATGTAACGTTTCAAACCAGGCAAAGGGAAGGAGAGGTCATCTTGAGGTCTGCAGCTCCACGCACTGCCTCAATGCGCCACTAGGGGGTGTAGGACAGCGTTCAGAAGGAACACCTGATTCTGCAGAGCAGACTTCATGTGCTTTTCAAGGAAACCTGAGGGGCTGGTTTGAGCACGAACACTAATTAAATACCTGTGTTGGTAGTTTGGAACACATACTAACAAAACACTTCCTTCTTACTACTGCCAACAAATGACAGTTGCACATTTTTTCCTCCAATTGTCAATTGATTACTGGCTTATTTTCAACAGCTTAGTTAAAAACAATTGTATATAATATATACTATGACCCTGTTGTGCAACTTTCCAATGAAATGTCCAATACAAACATACACTCAAAACAGCTCACAGACAGGAATAGATGGAAAATGTCTGCAGACTCCCAGAAAAGGCCTGGCGACACACCCTGAGTTTCTCTCTTTTTAGCAGACAGAAATGCCTTGAGTGCTCTTTTCTACTGAACACCTGCCTTGCTACAACACCTTTCCAAGACAAGCTGCCCTGTGCACATAGCTCATGCTTGTTATCACATGCACTGTATGAAGACCCTACAGACCCCGATGTGTGTGGTTATGATACCTGGTAGCATAGCTATCAGCATTGTAGACTTTTCTTTTGTTTCCTGGAGCGCCAGACGTATTCTTCAGGGATCCCGGTGAAGTAGGTGTTCTCGACTTCACTGTTGCTCTATCGACAAAGAAACAGATTTGACAAAATCTTGATTTTTTTTTTTTGCTATACAGAGCATAAGGCGGATACCACATCTTCAGGCACAGCTGGATGAGATCCTCCAGTCAGGACAGGAGGCTCTGCCCTACAGAAGAGAGCTGTGGGGGTGTGGGGCAGGCTGCCAGCCATGCTGTTGAAGTCAGCACCCTGGCCTCTTGATGCCTCCTCTCTTTTGTAACTTTCTATGTGCTTGGCTGTGGTAGTTTTGGAGTTACCTTTTTTTTTTAATTATGTGCATCACTTCTTACATAACAACAATTTCAACAGACCCACTGTTTTGCCATCAGGCACTACAATACTAAGCCAAAAGCAGTAAACTCAATAATTTACAATTTAAGTGAACTAAGCCCCAAACCTTGAAACACGCACCAGATTCAATCAACCCATTTTCATTCCCGTTTCTTGCTTAAAAGAGAAGCCAAATGCTTCACGATCAACATCTGTCGCTCTATCTCTGCTACAGGTGCACACTAACGGGGCTAATGAGCTTTCCGTAAAGCGTTCTGTGGATTTTTATTTTTGCTTTCAACTCTCACCCAGACGGAGGGGACGTTAACGCTGCAGAAACGGTGCGAGATGGAGAGAAGCCAGAAGCGTTTGTCTTGGCAGGTCCAGATGAAGCGATTCTGCTCAAGGGCGGCCCTAATTAAAGACAGGGAGCCGGGTCAGCAACCTTCAACCTTTTCATTAGAGCAGAAGAACAGTCCTCAGCAGGAGATCAGAGAGTGAGTTCAGAAAAGCTGTTTTTTTGTTGTTGTTGTTGTGTACAGTACACAATACAAATACAGTTGGCAATATCTAAATTCAAACAATGACACAAATTTAACACTATTCTGATTTTGCCCAGCCGGTTCACAGGCAAATGAAAAACACTCGACATGGGACCCTATCTCACATTAAAAAAAAAAAAACACATTTTAACCACAATTTTAAAAAAAACTGAAATATTGACAATATTAAAAAAACTCTCAAATTCATATGAACATGATGTTACACAGAAGCTGAAAGGAAGATCCCTGCTTTTCTACTGATTTACTGTAAATGTTTTACAGAACTACATCCCATAAAGAAGAGTGCTGTGTTCTCACTGGGGCCTTTACTGCCAGGTTATTGCTCCAGCAGATGCTGTGACCTTCTCTGAGACAAGCGGAAACAAAAAAAGATGCGACTATGAATCGGTGATTTCAGCAATTTATTATCAGGATAAAGCTCAGGACATCATTAATTTTTACTGCTTCATTCCACCAATGAATGTGTCATGGATGTGGAATGAATGTCAAATATTCAGAATCCCACCAGCAACACTTTGCTTGCTGACTGAGCGCCGTCCAGACAGATAACTTCACCACAGGCCACAGCTGAGCCCACTCACACCCTTACTGGACTCGCAGCCTGTAAAAGAAGCTACTGTATGTGCGCCAGGCCCTTTGCAGCTGCGGCTCCCAGCCCTCACAAAAAGCGGTCTGTCACGCGCACCGTTTCAGAATCCCCGATTCCTAATCACTCCCTGGGCCTCTCTGCGGGCCAGACCTGGGGGCGATTCAGAGCTCCGACTGGGACGCGGCTCTCACCTGCGGCTGCCTGCGCCGGCGAGGACCGCTGAGGCAAGCGCGAGGAGGAGGGCGCGGCTGGGGCTGAAGAGCTCGTCTTCTTTATTGCCGGGGGCTTGTACTGTTGCGAGAGGATCAGAACAAGTGACGCAGCTCACAGGACCTTGCACGTGCTTTGCACAAATCAAACGGATAGCAAATTCCCCACAATTATCATCCCAAGAAGCAGATACACAATTCATGGATGTTTCAGCAAGCATGACCGCAAAGCTTGCAAGCCTTCCTACATCCATCCATCTTCTAACTGCTTTACCCAATACAGGGTCATGGGGAAAACAGAGCCGATCCTGGCTTCATAGGGCAGCCTTTGTACAACCTATGACAATCTTATCTGAATGGAAGAAAAACTGTCATTTATAAATAGATAAGAGCCTATGCACCCGATCGGTACTTTGCTGGCAGACCCAAGACTGATTCTCGATTCTGTAAATGGTCTTGGTGGACCAGTAGGTGGCACTCCTCCCTCTGAGCCAGAATCGTGAGTGCTGACACTGCGGTATAGGAGGTGCACCCTATATCGAGAGGGTGAAGGTCTAATCTACTTGGCCATTAAAGACCCCATGGTACTGTATGGGTGTTACTCCAGCATTCTGCCTAAACTCTAGCGTGGACTCTGTCTGCTAAAAGTACTCTCTTATTTCAGTCAGAGACCCAGTTTCTCACTTCCCCCCCTGGTCTGCTACCGAGAGGGGCTGCTTAAGCAAAAACCCCACCCAGGTCGGGGACGTCAGTGTTGCTGGTCTCTCCTGAAACACTTTGGGGTGAGAGACCCGACGAGCGAGCGTCTAACCTGTGACCGTGCCGGCGGTTTCCCCTTGGCATCGGCGGGAAGCCTGTCTTTGTTGCTAATTCGGGCCGCTTGCTCTTTGCAGAAGTTGATGTGTCTCTCGGCAGCGCTCTCGCTGAACCTCCGCTGGCAGTACGGACACTGGATATAATCTGGAACAAGACGTGGGAGAACACAAGGTTTCTCAGCCCCTGGCATAACCGTTTAATTCTTCCGACAGCATCCGTGGCCCAGCCACCAGCGCTAGCTGGGCGTCCGCTGGGCGTCCGCTGCTCCCGACCCTCCCGTCTCATGCAGGTGCTCGAGGCTGCTGCTCGAGCGCGCCTGTGAAGCCCGCGCGGGCAGCGCAGCGGCAGGCGGGGGCCACGTCACCTGGGTCGTACGACGGGGGCGGGGGCGGGGGGAGGGGCCCGCCCTCCTTCAGGGTCTGGGTCAGCCCCTTGGCCGCGCGGATGGTGGCGATGAACTCGTCGTGCTTCCTGCGCCAGCTGGACGGCTTCTTGGGAGGTTCGGGCTGCGGGGACACAGTAAATACACATTCACTTGGTGCCATCTGAGTGATGCACAATCAACAGCAGCGTGGGCAGCAAGAAAGGCTCTGGCCTCACAGGTGTGGGTTCGAATCCCAGGTGAGTCACTGCTGTTGCACTCTTGTGGAATGCACTTTCACCCAAACTATTCCAGTTAAAAAAACCTAGCTGTGTAAATGTGTGCAAACAAACAGAATAAGAGCATCAACTAAAAAAAAATAATAATAAAGATAAAGATGCTTGCTATTACCTCCAGTAATTACCTCCCGTGACGCATGACAGCCATCTCAATATTTTTGTTCTTCTTTGGCAAACATTATGAACACTGAAAGTACGCCATCTCTGTGTATACTGTTTTCTGTTGCTGTGAACCTGTATCCAAACAATTAATATAATTGCAAACTGCCTCTGGGAATTTTTCTCAATGAATAGGACTGTACTGTATGTGGACAGTTTACAACTGGAAAAACAAAATGAGACCATCTCACATCTTTTGTCGTCTTATTTCACTGAGGTTTCCTATTGCAAATTTCAAGTGCTTGCAGAGTACAGGAGCACGTTCTCCCAAATCAGTTCTCGTGGCTGTAATTGACACATAATCACTGTTAAGATCCATACAATCCTATGCAAATTCATCTATAGAATCCTCTGTGAAAATTATGTTGGATGATAAAAGCTGAAAGTATAATGATGTAGATCCAAAAGTTTAAAATACAATAAGTCCCTCGTCTATATGGAATACTACTTAGAGATGTCCCCATGAAAGGCACTCTATAAAATAAAACTCCAGTTAAAATTTCTCTTTACAGGCTGAACGATGAACGACTTGTTATGAACGACTCTAAACAGGAATCCAGAGATGGGGTCTGTTCTGGCCAGGGACACAGAGGGGTGTCCTGCTCCTTCCACTGGGCTTTCCTAATAATCCTGGCCTTGTCTCGACATCACAGAGACAGACTATTGATTAAGGAGATTCTGTAGACACACATCTTCAAGACTGGAATGCTTCAGTGGAATCAGAAATAGTTTCCATAAGCCTCACAAATCCTTTTAATATATGTACTGTAGGAATAGCATTGCTTTCAAAGGCTGTGCAGCAAAGGATAATATTTGGTCTAGGTTCTGAAGTAAAGAAGATTAAATTGAAGATGATTACTCACCCTTGGTTTCAAGGGTTTCACTGTGGGAATGTCTGTTCCTTCTGCCCTCTGCCTACTGGAGTCGAATGCTTTCCTTTTCTTAGTCAAAGCTTTCTGGCAAATAGGCACATGTTTCTTCTACAAGGACAAATTGATTGACAGTGTCATTAATTCTCCAATGTTTTAAATACATTAAGAATTGTCAATGTCCTGTATCTGGGCAATTTACATTCAATTACAATGCATTTGAACAGTTCAAATATAATCACCCTGAGTAGTGGTCGGATTAAAAAAAAAAACTATGATATGCTTTTTAAGGCAGTTTAAATATTTTTGGGCCAAAACCTGAACTCAACCGTCCAGTTTTAAAAGAGCAGTTTAGTGATCAGCTATTCAAATGAAAAACTCTATCAAAAAGCAACTTTATATTTACTGTACAAAACTGTTCCCCACACTGGAAAAAAAAGATAATTATTATTCAATGTGGCTGTAAGTCGACTGCGAAATATATAGATACATTTGCATTTGTGTGATACACTGAGCAATAGAAAATATAAAACAGGCTGAACACTTTCATAAGCAGAGGCTGAATGAAATACAAAAAGATTTTAACAAAAAACAAAACACTCCAACATTTTAATAACTACAATAAGCACATATTTATATTTTTCTTTTCCTCTGCAATGCAATAAAATACCCATTTAGAAAAATAAAATCATGTTACTCTGGAAGTGTTAAACACAGAAGGACAAATGTATTTGAAGATATTAAAGCTAGGAGATTTGAAGATATTAAAGCATACTTACAAGCGCTGTGGAGAAAAATGTTCTACCACAGATTTTACAAGGCAAAAGATCTTCCACTGGAATCTGGCTCTCATCAGCTGCCAGACATAAAAACATACAAAAAAGACACCTGAAATGCTGAAATCCAAATTCTAACAAAGGAACATCTATAAAAACATAATCAATGCAATGCTCTGGGACTGAGCAATTTCAAGTGCACGGAGCAGCGTTATACAATGAGAGTGTAACAAATGAGCAATCTGACCCGTGGAAGTGAACATCTACCTGACAACAAGAACAACAGTCTCTCAGTAACTATGGGGTGCCCTGTTTGCTCCCAAACACAGCAGCCATCTGAAATAACATCTACAGTCTGTTTTCGGCCTGTTCCTTCTTCTGCATGTGATCAGGCCAGTGTGACTTTTAACTGAAATATCAAGGACAGCCAATCCCAAGCACACACTTTACTGAGTCCGAAATAATACTTAGGAGGTACAAAGAGTCAGCCCAGTGGTACTATTCAGATACTCCGCTCACAATCCCACAGACTAACAGGTAACGCCTTCTCTTGCAGGTAACATTTCTTGAATTCTTAAAATGTATATAAATAAACCTCTCCCTTTGGTCAAAACACAGTTACAGATCTGTTTTAAAAAAAAAAAAAAGCAGTCTCCCCCCTGAGCTTGAAGGAAGTCACTTCATTTCTGAAGTCACAGAAGCTGTGGCAGGTTACTGCACTGAACAGACACTGCAGCAGGACGATCCCAGGGCAGTGTTTCACGACGTCTGGCTCGGACAGACTCTGTCCCGGGAACACGAGGAACCTTTTTTTTTAAGTTTTGCCAATATGACATTGTACGAGGGCAGATAACTGCACAAACGGGAGAGAGGGCCAGTTATACCAGACCAGCTCTCTCAGGGACTTACTGTGCGTCAGAACAGCTCCCGCTGGGACCAGGTAGCAAATGATTTCTAGTTTATTTCAGGACTGGGGCAAAGCCGACCCGCAGTTCACTTCTTTGCCGCACTGGCAATGTTTCACATTCTGCAGACTCATTTGTCGGGTCTCGACCGACCCCACCTGGGGGAGCTCCGCGACCGCTTCACATCGGAAGACAAGGAGAGGAGGAGAAGGGTCCATCGCCGGAGCCACAGATGGGGGTGTCGGTCACCCCGTGACCGTGAGAGCACTCTCCTCCGCGCAACAGACCCAGCATCAGCCCAGGTGTCACCTGAGTCCGCGGACAGTGCCCAGGTGAGACCTGGCGAAGCCGTCCCTTGAGCTCCCGGGGGCGGTGTAATGGATCAATCACGGCCCATTGTAATGGATCAATCACGGCCCATTCCGATCGGGGGCCGGGGGAACAGCGCTTGAACGGTGCTGCCCGGGGGAATCGCCCTGTTCAGGAGGGCTGCCCGTACCGGAAAGCGGAGCGAGGTCAATCTGGCACCTCGCACTCGACACGGACAGCGAAGAGGAAGCCGGGGCGTCGAGTTATGAACCGACTGACCGCGGCTTCGTTCCCCGGACAGCCGGTCTCACAGGAAGCCAAGCCCTACGCCCCTAAACGGTGGTCTCCCACTCCGAGCCCGCGGCAATATCCTGGGAAACAGGGCGCCTCCTCTCCCAGCGGTGACCCCCCACCCTCCGTCAGCCCTGACGCAGCCTGAACACGGTTCATGTTGCCGTCTGGGTCCGCAGACACATAAAATAACAATGCACAGGACGCAGGACAACGACACGAATCCGTTAATGCCTCACCCTCGTACTCCTCCATCTTTCTCGCCTGCTCTTGTCCTGTGCAGCGCGACCGCTGCTGTAGCAACAAGCCTGGTTTGACAAGCCGCCTGACGGCGCAGTATCCGCTCGTCTCATTGGCTGGGGTCGGGCTCCCAGCGCTGCGACTTTGTTTCCAGACAGCAGGTGGGGCGGGGGAGGCGGCCGGCCCGACCCACGGACACGCGTGTCCGCCTGCCCCCACCTCGCACACAAAAGGCGCTACGACGGGCAATCTGGGTCGGATTTTCCACTGGCGTACCGCCGACTGTACGCCACAGGGCTCTTGACACACCCAAGCCCTGATCCTTTCATCTTTGACATCAATGAGATATATATATATAAATTAATACGTAATTGCGAGACACGTCATGTAAAAAGTGGAAATCTTTAGCTTTTAAGTCTTCTCTGTCATGTTTTATCAGAATTGTACAAATATCAAAATTCATGTACTATATGCAGCACAAGTACTGTGTATTTTAATGAAAATAAATGATGCTATCATTATGGCGTATTAGTCAAGTATTATAATATACGTCACTTTTAAAAGGCAAAACCTTTCACGATAACGACGGTCATCAAGCAATTTCGTGGGGGGGTTGTGTGTACTTTTCAGGCGCGAATGGGCTTGGACTTAAATCGGAAATTTGTTTTTTTGTTTTTTTCTGGCGATGCCTTGTCTCGGTTCTCACGGGGTAAACGTGTAGGTTTTACTGCACGATGTAGATGGGCAGATGGTGATCACCACTACTGCAGCCTTTTCTTGTGTGGGGTAAATTTTTTTCGGGTAGTCTGGTTTAAGTGTATTTCCTAACGTATGTAAATCAATATTTACCATCCTTGCTTAAAAAGGACAAAGCAAAGCCCTCTTACGCCCTCTTACCCGACAGATAAATGTGTTTTCATATTGTACAGTTTACACATTCACAAATGAATGTGAAAATGTACCACATAACACATTGCCTTCAATCAGTTGAGTTGTTCATGTTTCATTAAACCTAATGGTGCATAAACCGTCTTGTACTGAGCCTGTGAGGCTCTGAACTGCAAACATGCTAAATGTCATATCCCCCATACTGGAATGAAGGATCGAGTTTAGTTCAGTGCTCGCCTTCCATCTCCCACAGCAAAATACTTTAAATAATTTGGCAAAGACAAACACTGGATTATTAGCAGTAATTAGCATTATCTTTATGTCGCAAAGAACGGAATGTGTGCTGTTCTGCAACACACAAATCTGCTAGCCAGCTGCTACTCTTCCCCAGACTTGAGAGCCAGACAATAAGTTACTATATTAAACAAAGCGACTGTTGGCCACGAACTACTGCTTGGACAATGGCTGCAATAGATACAGTACAGGGCTTAAACTGAGTTTGCAGGCGCTTACAGACTATGTACGCTGCATGATCTGAAATGTGTTATGCAGGATGCAGGACATCAGTTTTTGAAAATACTGTATATCTTTGTTAGAAATAAGTACGTTTATTTAAAGTTATAGCAATTCTATTTTTTTACTTTTCTGTTATGATTTGTAAAGATATTTCTTTGACCCACGGGCGAAATTAAGAATTTAATTTAATGTAATTCAATTAATTAAGGGTATAATATATTGGGGCCTTAGGCCTTACAAACTGAAGAATGTACATGATCCGTTGAAAACAATAATCTAGTATGCAAATAGTTTATTGGCTTTCTTACTATACAGTCCATTGAATGAAGACGTAGCCCGTGATTCTAACCGGCGTGGACACAAAGGCATCTCTAAAACTGTGGCGATTATTCCATCAGTGAGAATCAGTTTGATACTCTCCCAATTAGAGTACCTCAATCTGTTTTTATGTCCTTATGGCTGTCTGTAACGGCGTAGGCACTTTATAACAGAGCTGTCAGAGTAACCCCTAAAACGCACTATATTTACGATTGACAATGATGAAAGGAACGTACGAGGACTGCATGTGCTGTGTGTTCATACACAGTCTGCACAGCATCTATAAGGAGTTTGTTGTAGGATACATACTGTACGCACATGCGTTTCACTGGCCGAAGTTATCTCATGGTGAAGGCTGTGTTAAAGGTAACACAGCTGTCGGTGGCTGCTAATTTTGTCTTTGTATTGGCAGGAATAAAGAGGTCTCTCTTCATATACAGGAGCTGCGGCTCCTTCGGCGCTCTGAAAAGGCAAGAGCCTGCACGGTGGACTCCGGGTTGTGCACACGCCTGGAGAGCACCTTTCTCCTGTTCCCGAGTGCCGAAAAATACTGTGTACAGGTACGGTACCTAACAAGGAACGCCCTTCTCATATACAGTCCTGTGCACACTGGGTCCAGTACTGGCTCTGTATGTAGTCCTGGTACACGACGTCACTTTCACCGTTGCCACATGTGCCTGCATTGCGCTTCAGATCTCATTCCGATACCTGAGCACACGAAACGTTCAAACTGAAGCCGGTGGTATAAACTGAAGCCCTGGCTGCTTGTACAGTAATGGCGAGCCATTGCACGGCGTTGACTGCGTCTCCGCTTGGACTCGGAGAAAGGGCTTTGAGCTGAGGAAGACGGAGGTCTTCACAGGTGCTTCCAATATGTTTAAGATACCTAATATTACACTACAATAGCACACGTTAAGAAAATATTACAGTACAGAAGCGAGTATCGGTTGAATGTTAGGCTGTGAGTTCCAAGTCCAGGAGCACAAAGACCGACTCTGAACTTCACCGTAAATCTAAGACGCAGGGAAACACAACTTCCGTTTTCACGTTATTTAATGAAAAAAATAAACGTTTTAAGATCAAATAAATTCACAACACTGAAGCTCCAGAGCTTTCTGAATGTTTCTGCAGTAACAGCCCTTTTCCCCAGAGTTTCCCAGCTGGTATCAGATGGGAATGGGTGAACAGGTTGTAACCGACGCAGTCAAACGTTTCAGGTCTGATCGTTGCAGAGTTTTTGCGAGAAACAAAGAGAAATGACAGACATCTAGACAATCACTAATCGAAACAATAACTTGCACTCTCAAATGTTTTTGTTTTCATTTCAGTTTGAACGCTTATAAAAGAAAATCTTAATAAAATACGGATTACAATGCGAACCTGCATAGCGATTCATGCAACCCCAACAGAAATAGTAAGAACTGAGATATTTCCGCTTTGCAAGTGGTTGGTCGTTTTTGGTGGATACTACAGACACCCTGATAGTTTTAAAACATTACATGTGAATAGTTTGTGGAGCAATTCAAATGGGTTCTGCTGACGGAATACTTATTTTTGTAATTGAAGAAAAAAAAAGTCTGTGACAAAGGACGAGACCTCTCTTTCCAGGGAAATTGTAGGGGAATGCCGCACAAGTTTCTAGATGTGCGGGGGCTGACAGATATTTAGGACGAGGCAAAGCACGGGAGGCCGCATGCAGTCATTCCCATCGCAATCTGCCGTGGATATTCTCCCTCTCCCTCCCTCCGCCTCGGGAGAGCATCCCGGAATCCCGATGACATCATTAGACAGCCAGAATGGCAGGAGAGTAGCGCTCTCGGTAGTGCAGTCCCGACACAGAGACAGGAGAGGCCGCCTTTCAAAATCCGCTTCCTGCGTTGCAATGACTGGACTGTCAGAGCTTTAAAAGGTACAGTACGTGCTACAAGGGGGTCAGCCAGACCGGGGCGGCGATAACGTTTTCACCGGGTTCAGCGTCATGATACCCAAGAAAACACATCTGCAGAACGAAATCCTTCAGCTGTACATTGTGTGTGCGGGCTATACACAGAATACGTAACTGCTAGTGTGTCTTTATAATGGCATTTATATTTCGCCATGTACAGTACGTTCGTGTTTTGGAACTGTAAATATTCGCCCCAGTCGCTGGTTATCCGCAAGGTTTTATAAGGTAAGCCTCCGTGGAGTCGACCTTTATCTTGCTGGGGGAGGGGCGAGGGGGTGGTTGCTGTACCTGAAATCGCTGTGTGAGAAACCGCTTCAAAAACAGCGACGATCAGAGCTGCGGTGCGCCTGGGCGATGTCCGTCCATCGCCGAAAGTGGTTTCCCTGCGGCGGTGCGCTTGAGAGAAAGCGCTGCGCATTGTGCGCTTTGTGCGCTTTGTGTGCTGGTGCTGTCCTTTGTGTTGTTTACAGCGGGGTCGCCGTCGCCGCTCCGGAGAATCGCGCTTATCATGTCCTCCTCCTGTAAGGCCTGCGGACGGTGTAGCTGGGTGGTATAGGCTCGGATTCAGGCACGCCGTGGTATTTATGTATTTCAAGGTCTCTTTTTTTCTCTCTCTGTGAATCGAGAAGCGTGTTTCAGATTGGAGTATTCCGCCGCTGGCCCTCTTATTTCAAGGGATAGGTGATCGAGGAGAAGCCATGTTTTAGTGTACAGTGAAATTCTGAACTTGACTGGGTGACGGGGGAATTCTTTTTGCAAGCATGTCATTTTAGGTTTCGTGACAGGTGCCTTTCCCACAAGATAGATAGGTGAAGGGTAGCATGAGAACACAGGCCACAGAGTACTGTACCTGCACTCTTGGTTTCAGGATGCACTGGCTGATCTGATTTACCCCTCACCGGAGGTGTGTACTGTATGTGGCAGTTCCGGTCCAGTATTAACCTTTAGACTGGTTTTAAATCCATATGCCAACCGTGAGCCTCACCCACACAGGGGGACTGACAGTGGATAAAACTGCCTGGAAAGTGTGGGCATGCACTGCGCCTGCCCTCGGGGGGACAGGCCCAGACTGCGCGAAAGAGCCAGCATCCCAGTGGCCACATGCTCTCGGCAAGAGGGAAACTCTTGAAAGGTGTTGGGACCCGTCTGACCCACTCTGTGCCTTGGGTGGCTGCCTCACCTGACACAGCTCTGGGGCTGCGACTCTCCCTGTCATCGCAGACTCTCGGAGACCTCCACAGAGGCTCCTCTGAGGCAGAGAGTGGATGACAGATCGTCAGCTGAGTGCTGATGAGGCAATTAGACCACTGATTAGACCGCGAGGGATACGCTTTCATCAGGATGTGTGTTACCTCAGACAGGGGCAGGGTGCAAGTGAGGGTCATTCCAGGAGAGGTCAAAATCTAGGGCTGCCTGTCTGTTGGACACAATCCTCGTCCTGCAACAGCTGTGGCGTAATGATCTAAGAATCTGTCACTCGGCAATCCTGCCATTTGTACTGTTGCACTGTGTGCAGTTTTGGTATCCTGTGAGGTTCTTCCAGAGTAACGGATTTGATATCCCTTTGCAAAATTGTCATTCTCTCACCTGTGTGACAAAATATGTACCCACATTCACATAATAGTCATGCTACCGCCACATGGAAAATTCATTTTCCACGTTTTTTGCAATCACATTTTTAGCATTCAGCTAAGGACACTGTGCTGTTTATCTCCTTTATCCAGTATGGGGTTGCTGGGCAGTCGGAGGCTGTCCTGGTAAATATCAGGCCCAAGGCAGGATACACGCTGGGTGGGACACCAGTCCATTGCAGGCTGCTTATTTCAGAAGTAAATAATATCTAAAGGGAAGAAGTATAATGTGTGAATCGATCTGAGTTACAACTGAGCATTTTTCTAAATCTTATTTAGCCTCTTTCTTTCTGTAAAGAAAGCTAACTGGTACTCAAATGCAGAACGCATCTACTTTGGTGTAGTTTTTCTCTGAAACCCAAATACTTTCTTGTATCCGAACTACTGTAGGTCTGGGACTCATTGTCTGGGAATGTATTTAACTGGAAACTGGGGGATCCAGGACTACTCGGGCTCCCATACTGTGTGATGAAACTCACCACTGTCAATAGCATCTCCCTGAAGATAAATCCAAAGTCCCTTTTATTATGTTTTTTATGCAGGAATTACTAACACTGATTGAAAACAAAATTGCTCTAGAAATATTTTATATGAACTAATGAACTCAGATACAGAACATATGCAGTAAGCTGTCCAATTTACCCAGGGTCAGATGAAAGAGGGGTGGAGTCTACAGTTTCTCTGTGACACTCTGACATCCTGCTAAAGTCACCTGCAAGTTTCATATTCCTTTTCATTATTTTAATCGGACTGAGAAATAATTATCTTCTATGGTTCCTTAGTCTTTTTTTAAAATGATTTCACTGTGTCCATGGTTTTTTGGCAATACAGCAGCCCCCCTGTTCTTGCCTGTTTCCATATTTTCTAAGTAATAAGCAGCTACAGGTCATCAAATATGCTTCCCTTGTGACTGTAGTTTCAAAATACTACATCTAATTTTTTAATGCTACAGATCTAATAAAGATTAGATCATTGTTCCCCCTTTAGAGCACAATGGTTACAAGGAGGAGGAGGTCATTGAGTCCATCCAGTCCGTTAGCTTGCTAGTGGCTTTTACAAAGGCACTCACCCAGCTGGTTCTCAGTAGACGTCATGGTATCAGCTCCAGCAACATGACTGGGACGTTTGCTCCAGATTTCCACAACCCCTTATCCAAGTACAATTCCTGTGCCTGGTCTAAGATGCACTTCCACCATGCAGCCTCTGAGATGTGCCTCGTGCCCAAGCCATTGCCAGTTCTTCCCTGTATGGGAGATCCATCAGGTTCTTCAGGACAGAACATCCCTTTACAGCAATCTCACTTCTTGCGAGAACACGTAATAAAAAGCTAAAGCATTGAGATCACGCCTCTGCTTCTAAAATCTCTTTAAATATGTGATAAATAGTGACATTACAGCAGTCTGCTGGTGCAGTGCAGAAGTACGTTTATTATCCCAAACAATCACGAGGCAGAAATTGTTAATATATTAACAGTGACCTACATTCTTAGTAGTTCGGTTTTATGTCAAAGGACTGTATCCTACTAAAGAAAATGTGTACTAAATGAGCAGTGCTCTAATTTGTCAAGTAAATTTGAGATGAGCTACAAAAAGAACAAATGGGCTCTTGATTTACTAAATGAACCCAGTGACCAAACAGAGGTGAGAAACCTGGACAGCACATTGAAAACACATGATTTGTAAAGTCAAAAGGCAGTCGTTTTTTAACATTATTAGCATGGTGTCTATTTCTTCCTGGCTGCAACATAATTGGATTTATAAGTGACTGATTCCTCGTGCACTTTTGCCCTGCCCTCCGGCCTGATGGATAAGCTGAGCCCAGGGCAGTGTGGAGCATGAAAAAATGGGAGCAAAGTTTATGATCCCATCCAAAATCTCCCAGTCTGTTTTTTTTTTTAAATGTTTAAATTTTTAATTTAGACCTATTTATTAAAGACATTTATTAAAATTAATATTTTTTTACTGACCGAATGCATTACCAGATTAAAAGAAAATAGCACTCATAAAAAGACTGTATATAATTGGAGTTATTAGTGGTCCACTGCAGCTCCTGGGTTGGATTCTGGTCTCGGACTGCGTCTTTGTGGGCTTCGCTTGCTGTTTGTGTTGGTTTCCTCCCACCTTCCAAAGACACAATAGACACGCTCATTTCCGTCTCCAAATTGGCCTGTAACAGAACATTTTATAAAACACAAATTGTATATCTAAATTCTGTATAAACGAAAACCTTACTCAGCAATGAATACTTCCAAAATGAGCAGAGCCAGACAACTACCTGCTTATGCACCTACTGTAGTAGCATATTTCATCCTTAATTATTCTTAAATTGTTTTACACCAAAACCAAGGATCATCAGTGGTTAAACTTAATTCTCTTTCAGTAAAATGTCTGTTTTCATGTGTAACATCTGGACTGTGTTTTTTTCACTGTGACATTTTAAATACAGTATTTAATGTATATTTTGCTTAGTGGAGATCTCTACGTCACAGAGAAAGGCTGATAGATGTGAACATTACTCAGAGTAGTATATGCACTGCAGAGTTTTTCTCACTTTTGAAAGTAAAAGGCTTTTTGTAATATGTACGTATCCCGCCTGCAATGGGTATAACCAATTGCAACCAAATCTGACATTGAAAAGTGAAAGCTCCGAAAACTTTTTCCCCGAGATGTTAACTGAAGAGTGCTAGCAGTGACAGGAGCCGACTTGACCTGTATTCAGTCTTCTCCTCTCGGAATTATCTGCTCAATTTCCTTCCTGCCCTCAGTCGCTTATTTGTGTATTTAAGTGCATTATTTTGGTTTAATGTTGTTTCGCCTGCCAACTAAACTCTTTTTTTTCTGTGTAGTACCAGTTTTTGTAAACATGTTTCTACTGTACGTCTTTCAGTTTCTATGAACTGTAAAACCTATTCTCGAAAATATCAGAGAGGCACATATTGGCAGTGCGTGTTCATTCAATTTCAGGTACATGATGCTGCAATTCCCCGTTATAAATCGTGATCTCCGCATGTTGAAAAAGACTTCTTTAAAACTGGGTCAGAATTCATCCACAAGGGTAGATCAATAAAACTCAGAAACACCTGTTGTGAAGACATTTATGAAAAAAAGGAACAATTAAAATGGTACATCTACACAAACCATGAATATTGGGTGATATCATGTACAGTAATTTGCCTAATTGAATTATAATATCATTCAATTGCCACCCAGCAGAATAGCATCACCTTGCTGTTCAGTTACTGCAAATAATGAAATACTGTAGGATTTCGAATATAGATGGTCTAGAACAAAAACGTGTCGACAGATCAGCTTTTTTTAACCAAACATTTTTTCAACCTGGGCAGTGGACATATTTATTACATCAAGTGCAGGGATCCAATTCTCAGCTCACTTCTTCCTTTAAAGCTTTGATATTGAATTTAAGATTTTTTTCTGCACATCTTTCTTAAAGTTTCACTTGGAAGAATTTCTTAACCTTCACCAGGATCAGAGAGCCAATACAAAATTAGAAGCGATAACTACTGGACCTCTTAGGTCCCTAAAATGTAAACTGTATCTGTCCATTTTGGAAAATGAAGTTTAATTTAAAATAAGTTGATGTACAGTAGGTTATTTTCATATACAAGCACAGATCATTCAAGAAACTGACGATGGTGCCATCTCAGAAGCTGTTCATTGTGCTATAGGGGCTCCTTCCCAGTCTAAAGCTGATCAGAAAATGCTAATCCTGCTGCTCCAATGCTGGTCACGTGAACCACTTTAGTGCCAGGGCACTCCTCCGTCACTTTCAGTTGCTGCAGTGTGTGTTGGCACCTACTGTCGGGACACCAGGATCAGTGTGTGCATCCGTAAGGGTGTGTCCCTCTCAAGCAGCTGTGACAGCTGCACAGCAGAGTGACCAATGCAGGGAGGGACTTCCTAAAAACAGGTTTGTCTCCTTATTGAAACTGCTGAGCTGCTTGATATAGCAGGTCCCGGTGGCTGAGTGTACTGGACTCATGTCAACGGATAATCTTGTCCGACAGACGTTCAGTAGTATTTACACGCAGGTTAAAGGTGGATCAGTCCGCTGTTTCAGTGTAGCCCTTTGGCAGGAATGCTTTTGCTGTTGAATTTCATCAATACAGGATAGCCCTGTCCTTGACACAAGGACAGTGTGATCTACCGGTATGCTTTTTTCATTGTAGTAACTATGTAGTAATGGTGAATTAAGTGCATTAAAAATGCAAGTGATTGTTGCATAGTTGTTAACTCCAGACCACCAGAGAAGTGTCCTGCTTCTGTAAAGCTGCACTTGCAGTTACTAGTTAAATGAATTTCTGTGTATTAAACTATTTTAATGCCTACTGGAAGTACAAGACTCATTTACCTTCTTTTTTTTTTTTGATTCTGCTGTTGAAAAAGGAATCATTTACTGTGGGCTTTCTTTTTTTCTTGCCTCCTGTTCCAAGTGGAACACGACGCCTGAACCCCCAGAAGCACAGAACTCAGATGAGCACAGCCGAAAGGGCTTTTCCCAACTTCCAGGTCTAAGTGGGCTTTCTGCGATGCACCTCGGCTGTCTGACTGACAGCACACTGGTGGCGACAGCTGGAAGAGACTGGAGAGAGGCGATGACGCTGTAAACCCAAAATAGCACAAACGCTTTGGATCCTGGGGAACAGCAGCCTTAGCCTGCAAATATTTAGCTTTAGGCCTCCTGCAGGATTTGGATAAAACAGTGACTCTCAGTAAGTCAAGAGCAATAATGTTACTTTGTGCAATTTTTCAGCCACTGTTGTGTGCTTTGGGTTTTCTTTCTGGTCTCTGACTGGAGATTCTTGGGGTCAGGTGTGTGGCTGCTGACCAGGTGTTTCTGCGTGAAGACGAGGAGTGTCCGACAGTGCAGAACTTGTTTCTTTTCCCAGAAAGCTGTACGGGTTCATTATTTTAGTAAGGCTATGTAGGTGGATCTAATCGTTGTGGTGTTCTGTGCAACCAGGTGTTTAATGACAGGCAGGATAAATTGTACAATATGTAAAAGGTTTTATTAGCATAGCTAGTTTAACAGCAAGTATTTAAGTAATTTTAATAAACAGCAGACTCCAATTACAATAGCTTATTATCTATTAGGCAGTTACTGCAGTTACTGCTTCTGCTGTGTTAGTATTGGTTGCTGTACTATAATGCTCTCTAAATCTCTGAAAGTGTGAAAGATATTAATTACCTGTAGCACACAAGACTTTAAATTGTGAAAATCAGGGAACCTGTTAATGTAGCATGTTCCACAGCTCTGTTGCAGTGAATTGGGGGTAATCCTGCATATTGACACTTGTGAAATGTCTGCAGTGAGTGAACCTGCTCAGTACTAGCCTGGCACCTTGTTCTCATTTTAAAAGTTAAACGTTAAAGTTAAATTAATAACTTAGCAGTTATTTTAAATTTTTAAATTTAACTTTTAAAAATGGTATACCATATTATACATAATATATTTTTGCCATAAATTATACAATCAGCCGGATCGATCTAAAAAAATCAAAAATACAAAAGTTTAAAAAAGTCAATTTTCTCTCTTTCTCTCAAACATGGGAACCGCAGACGAGTATAATGGAAGAACGATGCTTTCACGTGTGGTGTTTTGCCATTGTAAGAACAGAAAGCACACATCCGAAGACACAGCACCATTTCAGACTTCAGCTTTGTACAGTACTCTACTCTTCCTACAGCCAGAGGGCTGTGGGTCCGAATCCCAGCTGGCACGCTGCTGCTGTAGCCTTGAGCCAGGTGCTGCACCCGGGACCTCCCCGCTGTGTGGCTGTGCACCTAGGGAAAGTGCAGCTGTGTCTGGAGATATGGAGATAAGAACATTGTAAAATGCATACGTTTTCCAGTCCAAAAGCAGTACTATATCCAAATGTCTTGGTTCTTTATCTGTAATATTTCTCCTAATTGTATTGCCTGTGTCTCTGCGTCTCCGGTTTTCACTCTAAACATTTGGTGTGACTCGGGGGGCTTTTATCTGTAATTCTGACAGAAGCAAATATCATAGCGAGTTCAGTTAAGTTGAAAGGACCATGAATGCCTCAAACCTAGGTGGAGCACAGCCGCTTGCATTCATGTATTCATCGATATTCAGTTCCTCCCTAGCAATTTAGGAACGAGTACAGGTTTATTCCATGCTGGAAAGAGGAGGAAAGAAACACAACGTTTTCGGCCGTGGAGCCTTCTTCGGGTGGGACATCTCTTCAGCAGGAATAAACCTCTACTTGTTCCTTTCCATCCTGCGCAAGCTGACGTGGCTCCTGACTTGAACTACCCCGGCAATGTAGACTAAAACCCTCTCCACTGTCCATCAAATTACCCAGGTGGCCAAAAGGAGCTCCAGTCCCGCTCTCTGGGGGCTTGGCCGGACGACACTCGCGTTTATTTACACCCTGGTAAAGCAGACCTGCATTTCCATAGGGGCCCACACCTAGTGCCCTTATTACCAACAGCACTAAGCTGCAGCAGTAGGGTTTTCCTCTCCTATGTTAGGTAGAGGCAGGGTATTCTCCTGCGTATACCATTTACATAAACACAAGCAATTCCACTTTGAAGGGTGTCATAGTCTCGCTCCAGCTGCTCGACATCGGTAAGATTGGCCTCTTCAGCTGTACGCCCGCGTGTTTCGTGTTTATGGGATCATTCTAATCGTTTTCCTGTCTCCACAGCGTTACAGCGGCCTCTAGCGGCCGCTATTGTGTCACTACAGCCCTTTTGGCCCGGCTGTGTGTGTCGTGTCCGGAGAACACCGCACGGTGTCGCAGTTTGTGTTGCTTTTAAAATCAAATGAGGCTGAACACCTCTCAGGCTTCGGTTCAAAGGTTTCAGCGCCTGCAGCCAAGAAAAATCATGTCTTCCACCAAACAGCAGCTCAGGCGGAGGGGTTTGAAATCACATCACTGATTGAGTTAAGGTGCGGGTGCATTTTCAGAATAAATACACCTGTCTCTGTATGGTCCCATGAAGGATGAGGCACTCTCAGGGAGGCCAGGTGGTGCCAGCATGGCTGATACCTCCACTCTTACAAACAGTCTTCTTAGGTTTGGCTTTTTTGGTCAAGAAAAATCGGGGCCTTTGTTTGAAATTCTGGTCCAGGGGGAACAGCGCCCCATACTGGTCTACCACTAGGCAGCAGGCTGGTTTTGCTAGGAGGGCTCCCATCCCGGTACTGACCAGACCAAATCCTTGCTAGCTTGTAAGACCTGTGAGGGTCAGGTTGCAAGCGGTAACACTGCTGTCGAACACACCTGAAGAAGGCTTCGCAGCAGAAACGCTGGGTTTCTTTTCTTTCCCTCTCGTACACAAGGAGTGTACGTGCCCCTGTGGCCGAAAACACACAGCCTGGCTTTCCAGCACGTGGGCACTGCTGCTGGCCCACCTGGTACCGGCGCCCAGGACAGAACAAAGCTGGATTTTCTCAGGCATCCCTCGGCAAGCCCCAGAGTCCGTCCTGACAGATTCCTTCACTCCCCAAGAGGGCTAATTACACCTTCAGACCAGCTGTGTCTCATTCTCCAGGCTTCTTGCTAATAGCAGGCGACCATCTTGGCTCAAGGCGGCACCGCTGAGCCCGAGTGCTGAGCCAAGATGGCGGCTTTCTCACAATGCCAGCTCCTACTACCATTTCTCTGCTCAAGCTGCAGTTTCTTACTGGCTGTCTCCCTCAGGTATGAGTTAGTGATGGCCTGATGATCTTGGGTGGGTTCCAGGCTAGTGATCCTCTATACCTCCCACACCTGGGAATTTCAACCATTTAAATATATATATATTCTGCTTTACCTGTTTTATTTACTTTTTTAGAATTTTAGTATATGAATTGTTTTTGTGAAGGTACTGGGATAGATAGAGAAAGTATACACTGTATGGTAATAGATTTGTCTTTGTGTGGAATTTTTTGAAAAGCTTGCTCAATATTTAAATCATTTCCAACAATATTTATTTGGCAAAGTGACTTGTTTTCTCTCTAGGCAAACTGCCTGCTGAGACTGAAGAAACTAGATGGGCAGTTTTCCCAGAGGGAAAGTATCTTCACATAAATATTCATGTCCTGTTAAAATACTTGAATTCTTAAAATACTGGAACTAGATTTATTTAAATGATCAAATGTTTAACGTGTTTGCAACTACAAGTGCTGTGATCACGCTGTAAAGATGCAGACTCCTCTGAAGTGATCGGTGGTGTGTTTAGTTTATCTCAGGACGTGTGCAGCTGCAAAGGTGGGAGAGCCGTGGCTGTGGGGTGGATTCTGCATCTCCAAGCCTTGCGGTCCAGCTGTTCTCCCACAGCTGCCGGAGAGTGTGCCCGGTGTGCCTCCTGCTCGCCCAGCTCCCTGGTCTTCGATCCCCTTTCGTCTGACGCCAGGCGTTGTCTGGACTCGCGCTTCACGCACAATGGGGACACAAGTGAGGGGTTTCAACGAGAGGGCAGCACTGGGCCCCTCTGGCAGGGTGGGTCCGCTGGAGCCCACTGGTCCAGCCGTAGCGCAGGCCTCGACCACGTGGCTGAGCAGCTGGCACCAGGACTCCCACAAGCCTCTGTGGCAGGAAGTGCCCCCTGTTCTCACTTCCCCGTAGTTTCGACTTCCACTTCCAGATTCTGTCCCGGAGGGGCTCATGTGCTCCTGTGTCCGCAGGCACTGCTATGTTGACACCTGTCAGCAATGACTGATGTGGAGGCGACGTACGCAGATTTCATTGCTTCCGGACGAACGGGACGAAGGAACGCGCTGCACGACATCCTCGGAGCCCAGGGCGACCTGGAGGGCGGCGATTTGTCTCTGAAGCTTTCCGAACTGGACCTCGGGAAAACAGGTGAGGCGGGGCGGAGCGGCCGCCACTGTGCGGGTGTGGCGGTCACGCGGGAGGAAAATGGCACACCGCCAGACCCTCCCGAGGCTCCATTACTAGGATCAGCCTTATTTCTACCCCAGAATATTCTGAAAATGCCCTTTGCTGTGTCTCAACAGGACTGCAAAGATTAATTCTTAAGGTCTGTGTCTTTTTTGGATTCTGTGTTGCTTCTCTATCTGGGCTTCTGCATAATCTCTCTTCTGTTGACTTTAATTCTACGCTCTGTGTATTTCCCGTTTTGGAGTGTGTTTAGAGTCATTCATTTTCATAGCGGAAAACAAACCCTTGGCGAGCATAAACATCCCCTCCCGGAGATAAAGTAGTCTGCAGAGAAAGAAATGAACAGAACAGAGAGAGAGGGAAGCTGACGCACTGCTCAGGGTGTACAGCAGGATGGCCAGAGTGTGTGTGCAGCTCTGTCTGCCCACACTGGGCATCGCTCGGAAGGTAACGCTTCATGGCCAAGTCAGTAAGAAACACTCAAAAACATCAATAGTTTATGCTTAGTTTTCTTATCTTCGTTTTAAGATTGTCCAGGTCTCGACAACTTCAAATGTACAATATATGTACCTACTGTCTCCCCATTTGTGCAAAATAAACAGATGATCTAAAGCTGTGTGCTTCTTGTGACTCCAAAATGAACTTTACAATGAAGGCGTACATGTGTGTTTGCTACACACAGTCTGTAGAAACATGTTCATGAAAGAATGAATGAAAGAGTAAGTCTTTTGCTTTGCATTTTAGAATACATCTCTTCCAGTTTAGAATATATAATATATATAATCCAAACAGATTACTATTCAAACATTTGTCTTTTCTGGTTCAGGAGCTCATTCAGAAATGATTACGGTCTTTGTCCTTCTTCAGCAGTTGAAGAGCTTTAGTTCTGTAGTTTGTATTGGCCTGGACTCCTCCAGTCTTCAAACTACCTTACAATGCTCTGTGTCTGTGTCTGTCTCTGTGTCTTTAGTAACACGAGTGTCATTTCCAGGCCTAGTAAATGTATTTAGAAACCAGAGGGACTGCATTTTCTATTTCAAAACGGAAAAAAACACGTAAACTTCACTGTTTGCCTCCTGTAGGCTCCTGTAGCTGACCGATTCTGGTCATAGTCCCTGGCTGTGTGAGTCTTCAGTGGTGTGACCCCAGTGCACAGGGAAGGTCATACATTATCTTTAATTTGGAGTGCTAAGAGGCCACTACTTCTTTTGAGCTCTTTCGGGGCTCCTGCGACGCTTCTCTGGTTCATTTTCTCTCTTGTGCCTTTCTTCAAGGAGAAGGAGATGGTGGTGAAAAAAGTCAAGCGTCTTCCACAGAGCGGCCTCCTTCAGCTCAGGAGGAGAAACCGGAGGGGAGTTAACGGCCAGGCCTGAGCCCAGCGCCCAGCGCCCCGGCCTGGCCCGGCCCGTCCTTGCACCAGAACTGTTGGCCGGGGAGGCCTTGGCTATGGAGGACGCCACACAGACAGAGAGGAACGAGCTCTTCCCGTCGTGGGCACGGGATGGGCGCAGGGCCGGGGGCGCAGAGGGGGCAGTCTGCCCAGAGCTGCTCAAGCCCCATGTTTACTAACGGCTGAGGGGTATCCGTGAGCCCACAAGCAGTGCGACCTGCAGTGTATCGTATCATCACGATAGTTGCACTAGTGATCATCAATAGAGATAGAGATTTAGTTCTTGCTGTTCCTGCTGGCTGCTGGGTTAGCGTTGGCAGCGGATTAGGGATTTAATCTGTTTTCTACTGAGGGTCCAGGGAGTTATGGAGATGGAAGGATACTGTGTTTTATAGAAGACAAAAAAATTAGACTATGCTTTTTTGCAGATCAGAACTTGTCTGTTACTTGAAAACGTCCACCTACTGCCCCTTCTTGTAGCCTCTTAGATCAAAACCTTGGATATATGAGAGGACTCATATTATCTGTATCTGTTCTTTCTAACTGGTATTTTTTTGTGTGTGGTATTGATGCAGACAACAGATGGATCAGCAGATCTACTGCCAAGCGTGTCAGCCAAAATGCATTTTAAAGGAACTTGCTTTCTGCAAATTTTCTGGTTGACAATGCTGTGAAGTTCAACAATTCGCTCTTTCATTTGGTTTGTGTACTGTGCTGTGATATAAACTGCCACTGTTTTTCAAAGTTTCACAGTTTGTATCAGGGATAGAATCTCATTGTATTTTATATATTTTTGTGTAGTTGTGTATTGTATTTTGCAGCACATATTTTGTTAAAGCTGCATTTTGCTCCATTTGATGTTTACAGATCTAAATTTATGCTACAAGCAATGATAAGAGAGGAGGAATTTTGTCCCTGGATTAAGGGGTACATCTTAGATGAAGTAAAGGCTTCTTCAGGCTGGGAGCCAGACATTGAGGCTTGTAGCTCATTAATCTTTTGGTTTTATTTAATGTAAGAAACTGGCTCTTCCTGTGTGATACTTCACTCCTATGCATGCCTCTCATTCTATTCAGAAGTAGGACTGAGTTTCGTGGCTGTTGACTGCTGAGGGGCAATGGGACACTACCCCAATACTAGTGCTTCTGGTGACAGCTATAAATAATGCATTTAATAGTTTCTTTTACATCATTTCTTGAAATACTTATGCATATCGCCTCATGTTTGTCTTGCTGGGAGAGGGTTTTTTTATATCAACCCGTTTGGTAACTCCGTCATTTCAAGCTCAAAGCTGTACTCTGACAAGTTGCAAGTGTTCCCTGTTACATTGTTTTGTCAATGTGTTTCAACTACAATACAAACTAGGTCTCTAGCATTTACAGTCAGCTCTTCTATATAGTGGCCAGTAATTCTTAATCTTTTCTTTCTTCATCATCTTTTCTTCCTTTTAAATGATCACCGTCATTATTGTAATTGTGGTGATGTACTTTAAATTAAAAAAAAGTACAAATGCATTGAATCACTTTATACATGAACCAGTACATTAATATGTAAGTTGCTTTTTTTATTATGTTTTAAGTAGCTGCTGCCAATTTATATACGTTTTTATATATATATCAACCCTATGAAAGAAGACTGAGTTTGTGTGGAATGTGTGATGTATAGCTGTTTTAAAATTATGAATTTTGGGAATTACAATTACATCACTTTTTTAGTGTATGAAATAAAGTACATCTAGTAAATCAAATTGCATGACCTTGTCACCACTTTTTTTTTAACGACTCCCTTTGCTAACTTTTTGCTGGAGCCTTAGGAAGGCTTTTGATTTCTAATGTGTTGTTTCTTTGCAAAAAAACTGAGTCAGGAACGATGAAGGCTTGCGACAAAGAGCATTGGTACATCTTTCTCATCGGCTGTTGGTGAAAGATGCAGAACTTACCCTGGTGGACGGCATCTCCAAACGTGTTCAGATGGGTCTGCTTGGTTTCCTGATTTTCATCATCCTTTATGGTCACCCGTAAAGAGTGAAGCAGAAGCATAATGCTACTGCTACATAATGTTCTTCTGTGCCCACTGCTCCACTAGTCAATATAAGTACATGAGAGAGATCACAAATGAGAAGAGCCCATCCAGCAGCTACATCACCCTGCAACTCACAACGGGCAGCCCCACTGGAGCTCAGCAGGTGTGAAAGGTAAGGCTGCTGCTGGAAGAGGTGTTAGTGGGGCCAGTAGGGGGCGCTCGCCCTGAGGGCTGTGTGGGTCCTAATGCCACAGTATAGTGATGGGGACACTATACTGTAAAAAAAAGTCTCTGTCCTTTGGATAAGACGTAATATCAAGGTCCTGACTCTGTGACCATTAAAAATCCCAAGGTGTTTTTTCAAAAAGAGTAGGGGTGTCACCCTGGCCAAATTAACTTAAATCATTTCACTGAATCAGAAATGCTGTTAGTCGTTGTCATTTAAGTCTCATATTTTAACATATTGTAACGCTTATGGCCGACAAGCAGTGTGTGTAAGAGCCGGCGTACCAGAGCTGGTGACGTCGCCGCCCTTCCCTGTGATAGCAGGACTACAGCTACTGGGCTGGAGAGATCTCTCTTTGGCTCACCGGGCTAGGTCGCTGCAGAGAGACACGGAAGTCCCGGGTTCGAGCCACCTATACTTTGGGCCGACCAGATGCGGCAAGGGCTCCCACCTGAGCCCCCGTTGCGTTACAATATTCTCTCATAAGTATTAAAGATGTATGTGTGTTCGTGCTATTAATTTGTACACTTCTTATTCTTTTTTACAAACAATCACTGTTTAGCAAGCTAGCCATGTTTACACAATACAGCCATCTTCCGAATAACAAGGATAATAATGCACCTCTGTTTAATAAAGTTCCCTTAGCCCGTTGAGAAACATTTCTTCAGGTATCTTCCACCTAAGTCCTTGGAAGGAGATCAGTGCTTTTGGGATTGAGTCTACGAAGACTGAGAGAATCTAGAAAATTCGCCCTCTGTCCGTCTGGAAGGCAAAATGACCGTCCAATTGAAAACCATTCACGGGCGCTCTTAGCAGAAAAGCTGGTCTACTGTCTCCCTCTTGCGGTATTGTGCGGTACTAGCACATCCCGAGTACATTTCGTTTTTCCTGGTTACAGTAGTTGTTTCACAATTCTGTGACTTCTAATGAACTATGAACAGGGTTTATAGGTGTATTATGTTTTTTTTTTTTTAGACCGAGAAATGAAAATGAAAAACAGTCTTTCAATGAAATTAACTGTTTCAAAAGAAGAAGTTAAAAAAATATTTCTAAAAAAAAAAGAAAACCTCCGAGTTCTGTTTCTCGTTTTCTTCCATTTGTCTTGTTCTTAGTTAATAGATTAAGCTCCAGAAAACATTGTTTAAAATAGCATCATGTTGGACGTGTTTTTGTGGCTTACGCGAATTCTGTTTTCATCACCAATTTAAATAACCGATTTCTTGATGTGGAGGAAATTACAGCATTTTACTTATCAGTTCCATTTAGGGTCAGCTAGATATGTTTAGATTTCTGACTTCATTTAATGGCTTTCACATGATTAGAGGCTGCATAATTCTTATGTAAATCATTATACTTGACATTCGTCAAAATACTGCCGGAATTCAAATGAAACCCACTTGCACTACATCAAGAAGAAAAGTTATTTCACAGACAAAACTAAGAAAACGTTTGAAACTCGCTGCCGAAAATTGTTGCAAATATTCGATTTGCTGCTGGGGGAGCCAACTTAAGGTCCCGCACGCTTTTTCTGAAATATTCCTTACAAATGACCTTTACCATGATGAAAGTCAGTTTTGCTGAAACAGAGGAATGGATCTGCGTTTGAAGGGAAAATGTGTATCGGCAATCTTCCAGAAAGCCTCAATGGCAAGTAACCAATACATGAAATGCTAACAAACTACAGTATAAATTGCTTTCAGGAAATAAAGGTCTGGAATACTGTTTAATACGACATAAAATTATTCTATGCTACGCGCCCTGTTTTGTCTTAATTCAACAATTAAGATGTACGTCTTGTTAGCCCTAACCAAATATCTGCCCACTTCACTAAACATTATGAAAACTGAACATCTCAAGTCATGACATCTGACACAAAATCTGCTTTTGATGTGAGTGCAGTCCAGGGAAATACAAATGATCTCAAGATCGGGGTCCTGCAAGGGCGCAACGAGAGTTTTTAAACCGCTTAAGCACGGAGGATAACTACTGTATCTAGCAGAGGAGGATACATCTGGAATAAGCGCAGTCTGTCACAGCTGAATGACCCTTGATATTCAGGGTTTTTTTTTAAATTAAATTGAGCTCACTGATAAGATCATAGTACTACGGAACCTTGGAAAGCAACAAACTGCGTTTTCAGTACTCATCCTCATGAAGTATTGTCTTCTCTCTGCAAATGCACGGTGATTACCATTCGTATGACAGTTAGACAGCGCTATAGTATTGTAATAAGTTAATTCTTACTTTAATAACTTAAACTTAATAATTTCCCTCCGGTAGTTGGGTTAGACCCTAGCGAATGCGCCAGGGAGTATCTGGCGAGACTCGCCTCGCTGAGCGAACCGCAGCCGCAGTCCTCCGTCTTCCAGCTGTGCGCTCAGGGGATCCGGCACAGGGGCCGAGAGAGGCCTGGCCAGTCCTCCACAGGGGCAACGGGGAACCAACGCGCTTCTCTCACGGGCCTGGAGTCGAGGCCCTGGAGCTTTTATATGGCACAGCCTTCCTCTTCCTATAGTGGTGCAGGTGGGTAGATGCGTCAGCATGCGTTGGCTGCAAAGCAAACAAGTAATAGGTTTATTCCATGCCGAAAAGTGAAGGAAATAAACACAAGGTTTCGGCTGTGGAACCTTCTTCAGGTGAATTCTTCATTCTTTCTTCTCTTTTCAGCATGGAATAAACCTACTACTTGTTCCCCTTACTATGGCCGGAAGAAAAAAATCGGTTTAATTTACCCATCATCCCACATTTCAGCCCAGTCACTTTTTTTCTGTGTTCTGAAAGATGGGAAACTAACCACGGTGAAGTAAGAAAAAAGGACAGATTTCACTCAATGGTGGGACGTACAGATTGCGAGTTGTTTTGCTCAACCCGAGATATTGTAGCTAAGGGGACCTGCTTCTAAACGGGCCACCTAGTGGAGAACTTCGATGCTTGCGTTTCAGATGCTCAATATTCAAAACACAAAAGAACATTTCGGAAGCTTTTGTCCGCTGTAAAAAAGTCTTCGCCCCGTTGCGTTACAATAAAAACAAAAAGACCATTAACAAATAAATACAATACAAAAAACATTCGATTTCTTTATAATTTAAAGAAACAACATTTATTTGAAAAAATTGCAAAACGATCTTGTTCGTTTACTGTTATGAAATAAGTGCTTCTGAATTTTGTGTACATGAATATTATGCTTTGCGAAACAGTGCAAAGCTGAAACTTGTTTTGCTCAAAATTGACTCGCACACAGTCTTTCATGAATCAGGCCTGCAGAAATAGCACAAATAGTAGATTTTCATGTGTCATCCACATATATACTGTATGTCCATATAGCTAACTGAAATCCCACAGTTCCAGTGCCATTCACAATACCAGTCAATATAAAATGTATGTTTGTAATTCATGTATTTCTCAAAATGATGGAAAAAAGAACAATACATATATTGATACATGAAAGTTCTAATTTATCTGTTTTTTTTTCCCAGTGGTGTTTTGAAAAACACACTGTGTTCCTTAGCTCTTTTCTTTCTTTTGAGTTTGAGACTAAAGAAAAGACAACACATATCTACCATCTTTTAAGGTTAAATAAGTGTCAATGAACCTCGTTTTTTTAAGAAGTCTGAAGAACCCCACATTATTTGGAATACCTTTCCTGATGTTGCTGTCATGGAGATTTAATAAGCCTGACGAAAATCATCTAACTTCTTTGTGGAAAAGAGAAGAAAAAAACGTGCATGTATAATTTAGTGGATTTAGCTGCTTGTGTTGTGCTACTGTGAAATTTTCTCTGACAGCTGCTAAGATGCCCTTTTCAATGGTCCCATACAGCCTGATAGACCAGTATCTGACAGTGAGTGGAGATGATGGGATAATGTTTTGTCTACCTGGGTTCGTCATATGGATCAAGTTTTTCGTATCAGATGTAATTTCCTTAATTTCCCATTATTATTGTTGTTGTCTGCGTTGCAGTTATATGCAGTGTTTCTTCTGTGGTTCATGTAGTATCACAGACCCCTGAAGAAGAGAGAATATGTCAAATACTGTCTGCGTCCATTTACAGAAACATTTTCTCTTGCCAAGTTGTGGGATGCTGGTACCAAATGAAAAATAAAACTAATACAAAATTGCATGAGTATACAAATTTAAACTCACAGAGGACTTTCCAAGACATGTTCCTAAAAATATCAGAGTGAACTCCCAATGTGCTGATTTCAATTATAGAAAGTGTTCAGCTGTTTCTGGCTTTTTACTTTTCCATCCTCTTTCCTGTGGAGGTCAGTATAACCTCAGAAATTTTGTTTTTAAAATTTCTGCTCTTTGTTTCACGAGGTCTGCATTCACACAAAATGTAAGAATAATATTCTACAAGGGGTGGATCATAATGTTTTTCATGAATTGGAAATTCCAATTCTATATTTAAATAGCGTTCAATTGCTTTTATTCCTTTTTCATGTATGATAAAAAGTAACCTTTGTACAGTACTTTTAATAGAAAAAAACAGAAAAACTGAAGC